GGCTTTTTCAGTACTAGTGTGAGATGGAACTTTAGTCTTGGTTTGGTACATTATAGGGAAAATTGAGTGTAACAGAAAAATAAAACCTTTTTTATTTACTTTGATAAAGCCAAGTATACACAGATAATGACATCACCCTCTTGAATGAGTTGCTAAAAAAAGGTTGAGCAAGTTATATGGGTTACACAATGAGGATTGTGTAAAATTACTTAGCAATTTTGTAATTTCTGCTTCTTTGTGAAGGAGAAAATTTTTATTTTAATTGTCTCTGTTGATGGAACATAGACTAAATTACACACACAATCACCAAAGAAGAAAGACTAAATGACACACACAATCACCAAAGAAGAATTAATTGAATACAGAATAGTCCTTAAGGAGAAAACAGGTTTATGTTGGGCTATATAAGACATGGAGGATAGCAGAGAGAGAGGAAGGTATGTGTAGGAGATACAAGGGAAGGTCAAAGGTGCTACACTGGCATGGGTTTTGCCTGTGCATAGTAATACCTCTAGAGCTATACAGGGGTGTACTGTATGTTAAGCATCATTGTACATTATAACACCATAAAGTAAGACTTCATTGACTACTTCAAAAACATTTATAACAAGTTTACAGAAGAAAGCATCAGGGGACTTGTAATTAGTACAGCATGTGCTTGTGTAGGGGTGTTCCCTGAGCTGCATTGTCTTATGAAAGTGGTGATGTTTCTCTTTGTTGTTTCTGACCTTACTAGTGTGTCCAAGCTTACATATACCTTCCTCTATATTCTCAACCGCCCTTTGCTACAAACAAATTATCATTTACATCACTTTGTGTTGTGTGCCTGGACTGCAAAGTGGACTAAGGAGCCATCGTATTTCAACAAGATATGATGTTCTTGAAGAGATATTGGATGGACAATGGGCAAACTTGGAAAAAAATTTTATGAAAAGAGAGGTATGCCGAAAGAAATCCATGCGAACAGTCTGATCTTTGCTTCGTAGCCAAAAAATTGATCGGTTAAATAAGGACAACATTAACTGAGATACGACACGTGGAAAGTGGACACCCGAGAAGATATACCCGCTACAGATATTTATACTGTTATTATTACTCATTGGGATTTATGGAGTACACATATTAATAGTGTAAGTGCATACAAAAGAACCTTACACACAAGATATATCTGGTATAAGGTTATGAAGTGTTAATGGTAGGTTGAGTAACTTGGGCCTCTTAAGGTGTGGACAGTCTTGCTCACAGCACATTTGTCTACCTGGTGGCTCTGCTATCAGGTGTTTGGTACTGATTATTACTTTCTTGGATGTGAAGAAACTAAGTGGTTGTGGTATTACAGTACAGTATATTGCACTTGTAGTTATGCTTGTTTCATCAACCAACACAACACAATGTAATTTACAGTACTGTGCTGTACTCTCTGATTTGAGGAAATATGTGTGTTTTGCAACCCTCTCACTTTCTACATCACTCTATCTTATGTTTCCCTTACCATTCATCCCCTTCTGTGGGGTACTGAACAGTCCTGTTACCCCAAGATTCAGTCTCGTTAATTAATGATGCTGAGTCTCGCGGTTTGAGGTACAGGAGGAGAGGTGACAGGACTGTTGTGGGTGACTGTACCTCTTGATCCATCATGTTCACAACAAAATTATTTTGATCAATATTGTATTACTATGGATATTACATTCTCTCACAGTATTGCTAACTTTGATGATATGAAAGTTGACTGATCCTAAATACTTGATGTATAGAGAGAGAGCTTTAAGAATTTCATATTGATAGGTAGTTGTAGTCATTATGTAATGCTGTTGGGTGAAGTGGAAGAAAGGATTGATTTTTTAGGTTATTAATTGACAAGTGAGTTGGTTAAAGTACAGTAGACTACATAAAAAGTATCGATGAAGTCATAATTCATGGGAGAAATTCATAATGCCGTGTGGGCTTGGTGTTAGTTATGAGGCTGACTGGTACAATACACTAGTCCCATTATCTGGAGATCTCTGGTACTCCTTGGCTCTAAGATGTGATCTTGCTATATTATTGTTAAGTCTGGCAGTTGTGGTGGGGCTTTTCAGGGAATATTATACTGTACATCAACTTCAGACTTGGTTTGATCTTCACAATGTGTCTTGATAACAGCTAATTACTTCTCAGGAACTTGGAGGATCATGTAAGGGAGTTCACTACATAAGAACTGAGGTGAAAGTACAATAATTCTTCAGTTTGTTCCTTGTGTGTTGTAGCATGACACAGTAACTGTGTGCGGGACAGTATTTATTTTTTCCCCTTCAACGTACCAAATTGCTTTAGTAATTATTGTTTACACATTTTTAATTGTAGTTAATTTGTTTAATCAGCTGCTTTAATTGTTATTTACAAAAGACATACACTTACTTTGCTTGGTCATTTTGCTGAATGGTTATTAATTAGTGAAAATTCAGTTTAACCAGTTGGTTCAGTCTTTGTACTTCGTTTCTCTTATGGTAGATCACCTAATTTTTGAGGTAAACTTACCAGTGACCATGTGTGTCATTACTGTGCAGCACCACTCAGGGTCTGTCCTTAAATACAGATGATAATTTGTATTCATATATCAGTGAGAGAAAAAGTCATGGTATATTGAGAATATAATGGTTTGCAGAAGTACACTAGGTTGAACTTTGGGTAAGAGGAACAATCTCTGAAGCCGGTGCTTGTGTTGCAGGTAGGTCGGGTGTCCCCAGGCAGGACAGGCGGCCTTACCTGTCAAATCTGTGGTAAGGTGTTCAGCGGCAAGAACCAGCGCCAGCTGCTGCGCCGACACACATTCATCCATACTGGCGAGAAGCCTCATGCCTGCCCAAATTGCCCTTATCGTACCAACCAGAAATGCAACCTCAACATGCACATAGCCACTGTGCACCGTGCAGCTCCGTTCCTATACCCATCCCTGACCCCTGCCTTCTCTCTACCCCAGCCTTCAAGTTCACTCAGTAGCGCGTCGCCGAATTCTGTTTCGGCGGCAGTGACCGCTCTGAGTCTTAGAAATAGAGGCAACGAGCGCCAGTAATATGGAAGTGGACCTGTTATCACACTACAGTACACTCTTCTTGTATAATGGTATTAGCATAACTTAAATACAACAACAAAAATCTTATTGTGTTTAGTCAAATGACTGACTTGAGAGGTTTATAGCCATGCGAGGGTAATGATTATTTGTTGTAGTGTTGTTATTCTTATTGTTATTGAGGATATAATAATTTGAAGTGCAGATTAAGGCACTAAGTGGGGCTGTTGTGTGTTGCAGGGTGTGAGGGTTGCCCCGGGCGGGTGTGATGGGCTAGAGGGGCGCGGGCTCGTCTGCCACGTGTGTGGCAAGGCGTTCTACAGCCGCAATCGTCGCCAAGATCTGCAACGACATCTTCTCTCTCATACTGGGGAAAGGCCGTTCCCATGCCCCTTCTGTCCCTACCGAGCCTCTCTGAAGGGAAACCTGAAAAAGCACATACATGGTCTTCATGCCCATTTTCTTAAAGCTTTGGATAATAATATAGTGTTTTCAAATGCCTCTGTTCTATCCTCACCACCCCCATTGAGTTTGGCTTCTGATAATACAAATCATTCCAACTGAAGAAGCCTGTTTATACAGGTTGTCTGCTTTATAAAGCTTTTGCTTAGCCTTACTGCAGTAGACCTGCTAAGATGTCCTCAAGACCAGTGGAGTATAACATTAGCAGTGGAAGATGCATTCACCGTTAAGCATACGGAGGTTGACGTGCGGTGTTGTTGTTTCAGGGGCGGGTGACGGCCTGGCAGTCCGCAGTGGTGGCACACCGCCCCCATCTGCCAACCCCCACTTCTCCGTCTGTTGCAGTTGAGTGCATAACATGTGGCAAGTCTTTCTACGGCTTCAACCGCAACTTCCTGTTAAAGCGACACATGATCACTCATACCGGTGAAAAACCATTCCAGTGTCCACATTGCCCACACAGAGCAAACCTGAAACAGAATTTGGAAGTGCACATCAAAAGGAAGCACAGAGACCAGCTGTCCTCAGGGTTTATGCCTTCTACTCAAGCAGAAACTCATTGAAGCAGAACTATTTTTATATTCTACACTGAAAATTTCTTTTACTTTATGTGCAGTTAATTTTAGTGGTGTTAAGAAGTGATGGGTGAATGTGCTGGGATGTCGTGAAGCTGGAAGGTTAAGTGTGCCCTGTATTGCAGGCGGTCGGAGGAGCGACGCAGGATCAAGTGGGAGCTGTCCTAGAATCTGGCACCTGCCCTCTGTGTGGCAAGCACTTCCCCCGTATGACATCCTCCTGGCGTCAGAAATTAGAGCGCCATCTCCTGACCCATACGGGAGAAAAACCTTATCGTTGTCCATATTGCCCACACCGTAGTGGCAGGAAGGACTCTATCAAGAGGCATGGTAGGATTATGCATCCTGATAAGCCCCCTCTCTCTGCCTCAGATATTGGCTTGGCGTATGATCAGATTGGAGTACGAGCTTGAAGAGTACATTTACAAAGGTATTGAACATGGAGAATTGAACTTTTTTTATACCTTTTTCATCCAATTTTTTGAACATTTTACAAAGGTGTAGGAAAAGGTATCTGCGTGAAGGCAAGGGAGAGGGCGGAGCACTGAGAGGTGGTTTGTGTTGCAGGATGCTGGGGGCACCTTGCCTGTGGGAATGCTGCTTGCCTGCCTGGATTCGGAGCGGAGGTGCAGAGTGTGCGGTAAACAGTTCCAGCCAAGTCCCTCCTGGAAGCAAAAACTGACACGCCACCTCATGACTCACTCGGGAGAGAAGCCATTCTACTGCCCCCACTGCCCACATCGTTGTGCCAGAAAGGACTCATTGAAACTGCACATTGCACGCATGCATGGCCCACTCCCACCAATCTAGGCTCGGCATAATATCTGTTGTATCAATGATAAGTAACTAAAGAAGACACTTGTATGCAAGCTTTGAGCTAGAGGGAGACTTAGTGGTATGCGTTTACATTGCAGGTTGACATAGCCCGACAAGACTTGGCGTACACAACCCCTCAGGCAGTGGATAGACGGCGACACGAACCTGGCGGCCACGCTCCAGAGGGAGGCATTGCAGGTGGCCTTGGAATAGGATTGGGAGGAGAAAAAATCTCCCTATCCTTTTCAAGGTCATGTAGTGTCTGTGGCCATTCATTTAGTGGCATAACTTGGAAACAGAAGCTTGAACGACACTTGTTGGTTCATACAGGGGAGAAACCCTTTCACTGTCCTTATTGCCCACATCGTACCAATCGCAAGGATGCTCTCAAGGCTCATGTTGCAGCCTTACACAAGATTCACCTTATTACGTAGCTGCTGAGGCTAAGGAAAATGTCCATGAACAATTGTTATGAATGGTGAATTCATATTATAGTACAGTACTTGTGAAGTGTCAGCTACAGTATACAGTATCTTGGTGAAGAAGAGGTGAAAGAATTACCTTTCCAGAGTTCATTTACATTAAAAAGAAATTTAAGTTTTTCTTTTAACATATCAGTTGCTGTTTTATCATGGAAGTTATCTGCCTGAGGATAATGTTACCTTATGGCTCATTACAGTTGATTTATATTTTATTCAATAATTATTAATTCTGCTACAGATCTTTTTCCACTTATTATAAATTATTATAATTTGACAAATCTTGTTTATTTTAATTTTTTTAATTTTTTGCATGTGCAAATATTGTCAACACAGTGATGAAGCTCTGCCTGTGGTCATACACTGTGGTTATGTAAAAGTTTTTATTTTACCTTAAAAGACTCAACTTTACTCAGTTAAGAAGGTTAATAATTTTCTTAAAATTTTCACTGAATTTTTTGTGAGTTTGGTAGTTAAGAATGTTCTGCGTTTATTTTACGGTATAGCAGTAATTTCTACTTTCCCTATTACTGTATTGTATTGAAGAAGAAGACTTGAAATTCAGCATAGTTGAAGTATGAGCAGCAGAAATTGACAGGGATAGAATGATAATTGGTGGAGTACAGCACAGTAGAAGTGTACTGCCACAGTTTTTGAGACAGTGTTGATAAGAATGAGAGGAAGTTGTGTGGAGAGAAGATGGTTACTTGAAGAGAACAGTGCAATCAGCTAGTTACCTCTGCTATAACACTGTACTGTATATTATGAATGACATAGTTCTCTTGTGTGTTTGGTTCTTGATAGGACGAGGCGGCGGTCAGTTGATGAGGAAGAATCATCCATAAACAGAAAAACTGGTGATGGTGTTAATTTATTCTTTATTTTGATGTCAGTTAAACAAGAATATTATTGAAGAAACTTTATGTATTTCAGTATTAGTTAAATGATATCTTAGTTTGTGTTTGAGAGGTGAGGATACTTATTTTTGGAAGGCACTCCAGCCCCCCAGTACTGGTTATTAATTTAAGAGGATTATATTTGAAGTTTATTGAGTGAAACATGACTAAGATGATGGATGTGAGGCTAATCTATACTGTAATGGTGTGTGCTGGTGAGAAGAGGGTTAAGTTTAGACAAAGTCAGTTGAGAGATATATTATTTGTTTCATAGACAGGGAGATGTATTTGTGTAAGTGGTGTGGGATCAGTGTTATGACACTACATGTATGAGCTGGGCAGTTGGCAGTCTTAAAGTTCTGTAGTGACTTGGACCCCAGGGCAAAATATTTTTGTGCATACATCTGAAGTCTCAAACATCCCAGATTCCAGCTTAGGGCATGGTCTCATGTTTCGCCTTTAAATGTGGTTAATATTATAACACGACTGTGATAGTGAAAACAATACAGTAAAAAAAAATGGGGTTTACCATTGTTCGGCTTCTAGTCAGGTGGTCAGCGTGAAGATGCTGCAGATTGAATTTTTTTTTAAACAGTTAACTCTAATGGTGATCTACAGCTGACACCCATGGTGACCAAACACTGCAGCACATGATCTTTGTCTTCTAGGAAACAGTATCAACAGGTTGACCTCACTTCCTGGCACAGTTCTATATAATGAACCTGACATGACCTACCTCACAGTGTGTTTCCTAAGAAATAGTGCCACTAACTGCTGTATTGTCAGATAAGTTGGGGGGCTGTTACTTGACAGGTGACATTTGAATTTTAAAATAATAACTTTAATCATAGGACCTTGTGGCCCACAGCTGAAGGTTACACTGACTTTGGATCATCCCTTGTTAAATATTCCTTCATCCCATCTGGGGTGCTGGACTTTATTAATGTACAGTACATCTCCAATGAAAACTGTGCATCAAGGACCGAGAGACTCGGTTTCCCAATTTTTTTTTTTTTTTATGGAGGTTAGTGGCTGAAGAGGAATTGCTTATCCACAAAACGTTGTTGGATTAGATGGAACTAATATATATATATATATATATATATATATATATATATATATATATATATATATATATATATATATATATATATATATATATATATATATATATATATATATATATATATATATATATATATATATACACACACACACACAGTATATATATTGTACTGTATAGGGAAAAAGACAGATAATGCGGAGAGGCAGTTTAGGAGATGAATGTTTCATTGGAGGATAAAGGTGTTCAGTGATGGAGTGCTGTAGTTAGTGGTACTGTACTAAGGATGAAAACCCTCTGTACTGGGGGTCAGAAGCCTGTTGTGGGACTGATTATTGTTGTCATATGTGGATCAAAATGCCAAATGTGGTCAGAATCCCTAGATCATAAGTTTCAAAATAAATTAATTAATGTTAGAATCTCAATTATCAGACTAATGTAGCTGTGACAGTGATCAAAACTCCATATAAAAGATAGAACCCATTTACCAGACTAAATAACACTGGTATGGATCAGAACCTCTCATAACAGGAACGGTCCCATTACCCGGTGAATTTGACATTAGGTTCAGAAACAAGCTGACCTTCAGTAGTGAACCTCATGTGGGAGTTGAGCTGTGTTCAAATGAAGTGTTGGTTGTGTTTAAAATTCATAAAGTTTTAAGATTGATCAGCCAACTCCTTTCTTAGTGCAAGCTGGCGTGCTAGTTCTCTGTGCTTGTGTGACGGCGTGCGCAGAAAATTAAGTTAAAAAAAAGATTAGTGGAATAAACTGGTGGAGAAAGTGCTATTGTAACGCTGCCTTAAGCATGTCAGATGATATTTTAGCATCCATCATAACTTTTGAACCAGCAAGGGATTCTGACCATAAAATACAGAAATTCTAATGTCACTATGAGATTGCATCGGTATCAGATAATTCCCAGGTCCCTGCCATACTAAGAGGGGGGGGGGTCCTGTCTGGTGTGTAGATTATAGGGAACATCAACATTGCTGTACTACTAATATTCTTGTGTAAACTGGAAATAATCAAAACCAGAGAAGAAATAATGATATTTATTTTAGGGTTGAAGGAAAGTTGATATCGAGGTGAAGGGGGAAATAATTTTTGCTTTTGTTAAGGAATAGGGAATACTGTAGGTTGATATGAGCCATGTAAGGAGAACAAAGATGGACTGATGTGTGCTATAGGCAGAACTATTTTGTCTTGTTAGAGCAGGAGGAGAGTATTGGTGTTCCATTATATATACTATCAGGTACCTATGCTACTCTGTAAACAGTGGCCAATATTGTACATTTTGTGTAAATTTTATTAAATGTGAAGATTTTCTCAAAGTCTTTTTTATTCCATACACCTGACGGTGCTGTTGTACCTTGTGTGATGCTGTTTTGAATTTTACCCCTTGTGTACTGGCTCCCCTCTGAGCTGAATAAGTAGTGTCCCAGTTTTGAAGGGGTTAAAAAATAAATAAAAAATCGAGGAATAGTTTAGAATTTTTTTTTGAGATAATGAGACGAGTCAACGAAAACCAATCCTGACTTAAGGGTAGCTACATTATAAAGATTTTGACGAACTCGTAAAGTAGCGATGCAGCGAATGGCATTTACTTGGTCACAGTATCCTGGCTATTTACACTCTGCAAACTTTGAAAGCATCAGTTTGCTCTCCATGTACAGTACCTTAGCATTCAAGAAGTAATTCCTGTAGAGAGACGATTGTCTTGCTGGTCGCTGCTTTTCGTTACCTGTACAGTATTTTGAAGTTTCACTTATGGTGTTCGTTTGTACCATCACTTACTGTTGTGTTCCATCTCACTCTTGTCACTCCCATGATGCACACATTTGCCTATTTTAATACTGCTGCCAGTGTGATCTTATTATAGTACAGTGTAACCTCCATATAAAGGACTTCTCTCCATGTACTCCGTTAGATGAGGGTTTCACATGTAATGGACTTTCTTATCCATATAGTCCCTCAAATAAAGGTATTGCTTCATGGCAGTATTTGTTGTTCTTGGTCATTGAGTTAGATTTCTTACATTTTATTTACATTCAAGTTTTCTTTTATTCAAATTTACGATGAATACGGCGGGTTGACGGGTCAAGTCCAGTTATGGTTTGAGGATTGTGGGTGTGTTGTGCCTTAGTAGGTTGTATTTGTGTTGCATAATATTAGTTGTTGAATTAGTCTTTGTTATTAGTGATGTAGTTGCAGGATTTATCAGTACTGTATCAGATTTGGTTCCTAGATCTTTCTTAACACACACACACAATGCTTCTTCGTAAAATGAATTAGATTACCGTAATTTGTTTTGTTTTACTTGTACGTAGTTGACTGTAGCCTCGTCGGGGGATTTTCATGGCATGATACCTTAGAGCAGGTGTGGGAAGTCCTTAATTGTGTTAATTGACAAAATCGGACTTCTTTTTATTATGTGGAACTTTGTGCTTTATCCAGGGTCTAAGGCTGCTTAAGGTAGATGTCTAGTTCATGGTGTATATATATATATATATATATATATATATATATATATATATATATATATATATATATATATATATATATATATGCTGATAACCACAAGGTTATCTGCATATACCTAGATCACGCACACCTACAATGATTTACTTGCATATATATATATACAGTATATATATATATATATATATATATATATATATATATATATATATATATATATATGTATGTATGTATGTATGTATGTATGTATATGTATGTATGTATGTACATATATATACAGTATATATATATATATATATATATATATATATATATATATATATATATATATATATATATATATATATATGTATATATATATATATATATATATATATATATATATATATATATATATATATATATATATATATATATATATATATATATATATATATATATATATATTGATAAATGGCCTCTGAAGATGTCTTGAATAAAACAAGCTAAAGTTCTCCGTTGTTTCCATTTTTCCGTGTGATTTTATCAAGATTTATCTTATCCACGTTTTCATTGTGATTTACATGAAATATATATATATATATATATATATATATATATATATATATATATATATATATATATATATATATATATATATATATATATATATATATATATATATATATATATATATATATATATATATATATATATATATATATATATATATATACTAATTTTTAATAAAGTGCAAATATTACATGTACTGTACAGTAGACCATTATCGAACTACAGGGTGTTGTAACATAATTCTGGCGTTCTTTAGTAAGTTTGCTGCTTGCTGCTGTTGTTCATTTGTGTTGTAGGGTGAATATGGGTTTACAGTATGTCAATTTGTCAGTTCCTCTACATTTTAATCTTTGCAGTTATTCACTGTGATCATTGTGAAAAATAGCAGATAGCCCGGTTAATGCCTTCAATTGGTCGTTTTAGACTAGAAAAAGCTCGGGTGTGACACATTTTATTCTACCTCAGTGACTGTCTGCCGCTGGTGGGTTATTAATGTACAGTACTGTATTTAGTTATTCATACTAATTAAGTAAACAATGTATAAATTCTGTTATGTGGATTTGGTTGAAGACTTAAAGTACTACCCTTTTAGGTAATTGGGGAGAAATGAAAGATCTGTTTATGTAGCTGTGGTAGGTAATGTTGTGTTGATGGATGTGATGTTAACCTTTACATATAACAGTTAAAGAAAGGCTGAAGGAGTTAAGAAGTTGTCAGCAGCGTGAAGTGTACAGAAATGTGCCGTCAGCTTAACCTTTTATTTGTTGGGAATAAAAAGTATCTTCTATCTCAGTTTTGGAGAGGAATAATTATGCAGTATTTGAATAGTAACATTGCAGTGGTACAAATTTGTTAAAGATTTTTGACGATGATCATTGTCGCTGGTTGTTGGCAGAGGCTTGAGCGATTTGTGGGCAGCATTGAAAGTCCTGGCTGAGCCCACGCTCGTATTTTGCAGGAGTTGGTTGTCCCTGGGGATGGCTGCAGTGGGGCGTCGGGAGGCGTGTTGGTGTGTCCAGTGTGTGGCAAGACAGCCCAAGGCCGAAACCGCCGACAGAACATGGACAACCACATGCTCACGCACACTGGGGAGAGGCCCTTCCAATGCACGATGTGTTCTTATAGAGCATCGCAGCAGGGTAATCTTAAGAGGCATCTTCGAGCCGTTCACAAGCAATCTTTGGATGACCCTTGTTTGAACTCTCTCTCTGGCTCTCTCCACTACTCGGAAGTCAGCCCAAACCTTCCCCTCCACCGCTCTCAGCCAGGAGTTGTAGCATCACAGATACAAGGAACACAAAACTTTGGTTCTAGTGTTTCAAGTGTGCCTCATACTCTGAGTGAACAGTCTGGAGCACCTCAGCCCACTCACACAATAAGAGATGAAGATCCTCCCTTTGGCCTTCACTTGCGCCTTAAATCAGAAACTGAGCCTACTACTCACTCCTGCTCTGAAGCGGGTCTCTGAAGCTCTAGGTTTACTCTCCTAAAAAACAGGAAAGGCTGATACTGTACTAGCATTAGTGACAAGTCAGTGGTTCCAGCCAAAAGTATTAATAATATTAATAAGTGGTCATTGTTGACTAAGAATATGACTGACAAAATTTTTGCTGTATAATAATGCAAAAATGGGAAGACGGGCCATGTGGAGGTGTAGAGCGTGCGCGATGTGGAAGACTGAGGAAGGTGTTGTTTGTGTTGCAGGAAGCTGCGCATGGGGCGGCGGAGGGTGTGGCGACACGCATGCTGGCCTGTCCCATGTGTACCAAGGTCTTCCACGGGACTAAGCGCAAGTACCGTCTTGACAGGCACATGTTAGTTCACTGGGGACTGAAGCCGTTCAAGTGTCCACACTGTCCATATCGCTCAACGCAGCAGAACAATCTCAACCGACACATGAAAAATGTCCATTTTCAAATTATAGGTCCCATGCAAGAGAGTGGAGTAACATTGCAAGCAAACTCGGCA